AAACCCTGTCTTGAAAAATCAGGCTGGCCTCGAACTCACAGAGACCAACCTGCCTCCCAAGTGCTAGGATTAAAGGTCTGTATACCCACACCTAGCCCCTTTATATTTTTTGGTTTTTCAAGACAGGTTTTCTCTGTGTAGCCCTTGCTGTATGTACCAGCTGAGACCATTTCTTAAAAAGAGAAAGAGAGAGGAAGGAAGGACGGAAGGAAGGAAGGAAGGAAGGAAGGAAGGAAGGAAGGAAGGAAGGAAAGAAGGAAGGAAGGAAGGAAGGAAGAAAAAGTTGAGGGAAAGATAGTTCAGTGGGTAAAGGCACTTGCTTCAAGGTCAGTGAGTTAATCCTTGGAAGCGCCATGGCAGAAGGCAAGAACCAAGTCTTGAAAGTTGTCCTCTGACCTATACATGCACACTATGACACATATACATACATATTCATAAATAAATATAATAAAAATTTAAATTCTATATGTTCATGGTGTGTCATGGGATGTTTCAATACATATAGATAATAACTTTGAGATATTATGTTTACTTATTTTAGGTTTCATCCATGTGAAGTGTACAATTTAATATAAAAATGTAGTAAATGGCCTTGGGGTCAATCCCCAGCACTAAGGAAAAGAACAATCTGTACATTTGAGAAACCAGAGTTAGAAAGTTAGAGACTTGCAAGTAATAACCACCAAAAGATAAATAAACAAAGTCTTATCCTTTGCACTGTCATAATTGTCACCTTTATATATGATTCTTCTTGCTGTGTGGGGAAGAAGGTTGGCACTTCCTTTATTCCCCAGATACACTCTAAGACAGCAGCTGCATTCTAGAAGGAAAACATCAGGTGGCAGTCGGGTGGCCTTTGGTAGTTGTCTGAGGAATCGCCTAGCAGGAAGATAAACTTGGCCAGTGAACCCAGGGCTATGGGACATGGGACTGGTGACTTTTTGTAGAGGAGTAGATGTAGTTAATGCTCCCTGGTGGATCTTCAACTTCAGTATTATAGGAAGAGAAAAGAAAAGAAAAAATATCTAAAAAAGGGTGCCCTAGTGCAATGAATCACTATAACCAAAACAAGTTGGGGAAGAAAGGGTTTATTTGGTTTATGCTTCCATTATCACAGTTCATCATGGAAGGAAGCCAGGACAGGAACTCAAACAGGACAGGAATCTGGAGGTAGGAGCAGATGCAGAGGCCATGGAGGGGTGCTGCTTACTGACTTGTTCCTCGTGGCTTGCTTAGCCTACTTTCTTATAGAACCCAGGACTACCAGCCCAGGGATGGCCCCACCCACAATAGTCTGGGTCCTCCCCCAGTGATCAGTAATTAAGAAAATGACTACTGCCAGATCCTTTTATTGTTGTTTCCAGACAAGGTTTCTCTGTGTAACAGTTCTGACAGCCCTGTAACTCACTTTGTACACCAGGCTGACTTCGAATCTCTGAGATCTGCCTGCCTCTGCCTCCCAAGTGCTGGGATTAAAGGCGTGCACCACTGCTAGGCTCTACTGCCAGATCTTATTGAGGCATTTCTCAATTGAGGTTCCCTCTCAAGTCATTCTAGCCTGTGTCAGATTGACATAAACCTAGCCAGCACAGAAGGTATATTAGAATTCCTTTGATTGAAAAATTGGAAAAATAGAAAAGGCAGGAAGAGAAAAGAAACTGACACAAACATAAGAGTGTTTTTTTTTTTTTTTTTTTTTAGTTTACATATTCAAATTGTCTGGTAAGTAGGAGCATAATTAGACCTGGAAACTCAGAGGATCATTCAGGGCTCTTCCCTTTCCCTCCTCTCTTTGGTTGGCCCTATGGTGGTGTCTTGCTAGATGGGTTTTATCTTTATAAAGGCCACTGGAAACTCCAGAACATTTTTTCTTTTTTCCTTCAAGACAAAACTCACTCTGTAGACCAGGCTGGTCTTCAACTCACAGAGATCCTCCTGTCTCTGCTTCCCAAGTGCTGGGACTAAAAGTGTGTGCCACCAATGCCAGGCTGAAACTCCAGGACGTTAATTTAAACAAAGGGGTTAGGGCTACCTTTTCATGAGTTCCAATCTGGGTTCTGGGATCTAGCCTCCTTGCCCATTCCTGAACCAGTCATTATGGAAGGGATAGGGCAAATGGGATATTAGCACACTTAAATAGAGAATGGGGAAAGGAGAACCTCTAATTGCCACAGGAACCCCAGAGAGTAGATGGTATACATAATCACACATGGGAGCTTGTTTAGCCAGGATAATATGTACAAAAAGGTAAATAGCTATTTCTGCTAAACACCAGAGAGGGAGAAAGTAGAAATAAACAAGGCAGGAAGACACATCAGGAAAAGGTGGTTTCAGGAATGCTAGGTATCGGAGTTTTATACAGCAAACCCCATTTTCCCCCACTGTCCATGATTAAGTCACAACTCTACTCCTAGAAGGAGTGTGAGGCCCCAGATAAAAGCAGCTACAGTAAAGGCTTACAGGCCACCAGCAGTGATACTGAATTGGCTTGGGTTGCAGCTGCCACATGCCAATTCACTTTTCTTTGTTTTGTTTTTTTTTTTTTCTTTTTTCTTTTTCATAATCTAGAGGCCGTTTACGTTCTCTTTCTTAGTAAACAATTCATTTATATTTTCCTTAAGTCACAGACATATTTCTTAAGCTAGAATATTTCCTAATTCTACTTGTAACTCCCAAAGCCTTCTCCATCCATTTACACAATAGAGTGAACTGTATTTTTCTTCCTGTCACAGCCTGAAACTCCATATGAGCAGAGCTTCTGCTTATATGAGGTGTGAGCCCACATACAGAGGCTTCCAAGGCTCCTTGGAAATAGGAATGATGGGAAAGATAGACAAGAGGGTGGGTGGACAGGTGCAGCCCCCAGCAGGTGCAGTGAAGACAGTCAATGTGATATGTAAATGAGTTGAATCACAACCTATACCATAGAAAATAATATGCAGACATTCCTGAAAATAGTCTGGTTGAACAATAGATTGGCAAACCTAATGAAAATAATCATAGATCTTCAAATGTTGCTTATATACCTACTCTCTCACCATCCTCTCTATAAATGTATGGGATTTATATAATGATCATTTTTGAGCCATTTGGCTGCCACCACTTCCCCTTCTTCCTCCTCCCCTTCCCTTATCTTCTCCTCCTTCTCCTTCTTTTTCTCCTCCAGTCCTTTATGGTTTTTGAAACAATTTCACTTTGCAGCCCAGGCTGCTTTGGAATCTAATATATATAGCCCAGACTGGCCTCAAACTTGTGATTGTTTTGAGTACTATGATTACAGGCATAAACCACCACATTCCAGCCATTTTTACTCATTGATTCATTGAGTAAATTGTCATTGAACACCTACTGTGTGCTGGCTTGTTTCTAGGCATTGGGGATGCAATGGGGAATAAAACAACTTTATGCAATTTGCATTTTAAGGAGAACAAACAATTCATAAGGAAATATGTGAACTAGGACAGCCAGGGCTACACAGAGAAACCCTGTCTCAAAAAACAAAACACACACACAAAAAAAATTAAAAAACAAACCAACAACAATAAAACCCAAAAAACAACTAGGTGGGCAGAATTGCTCAGGGCATGTGTTCAAAAAAGGCCCCTGTGTGGTTCTTGGATCATGGAGTGAGTGTGGAGCAAGAGGGAGAGCAGACAGTAAAGGGGATGAGGCCTCTTAGACAGGAGAAAAGGAAAACCTTTGAGGGGTTGGGGCAGAAAAATGAATGGGCCTGATGTGTATTTTAAATGCTGTTCCCACTGCCATAAGGAGTAAGGGTAGCAGTGTGCAGAGCAATTAGAAGGTGGCTGAGAAAATGCAGACCTGCCATTGAGGACCTGAGAGGGGAGGTAAAAGCAGGGAGACTTCTGAAACCACTTCCTCCTTTATGTGTAGCTTTCTTTCTTTTTTTCTGGCTGCAGGAGGAATGCACACCCTTCCTTTAGAAGGGAATAGCCTTTCCTCCCTGAGCAGTAGAATTTCTGTAGTTTGGAGACCAGCAGCCTTTACTCTCTGAGGCCATGTCTCCCTTCACTGCATCCCTGCTGAGACTGAATGCAGAGCTGGGCTCAGATGAACTAGCACTCTTGCTGGGTACATACTGTGGAGGCCTGGCATGGATGGGTGAAGGGATCCAGGAAATGAGCTGTACGCTAATAATACCTACCATATTCAGAAGGCTTTGAAAATGTTTCTTTAGGAAAAAAGCTTTCAAAACTACAGTTTTACAAGAGAAATCACACTGTACGGAAGAACTGTAGCAAAGGAATGGAGCATTACTGTGTCCACATATCATTTCCAGTCGCCAATTCTAGAATCTTAAATTCTGAGAATCCTTGGTGGTCCATTGCTGCTATGCAAACCCAGGCATGGCGTGTTGTGATCTATATTGCATTTGTCCATAGCCCAGAGAGTATAGACTATCACTGGCAGTACATTAGAGTCCCAGCTAGGATGAGCAGATCCACCGTCACAAAGGTCATCTATCCAAACAGAGAGCAGCACATGGCCTTAAGAGTTACTGGTGGCTGGGTGGTGGTGGCCACACCTTTAATTCCAGTACTTGGAAGGCAGAAGAAGCAGGCAGATCTCTGTGAGTTTGAGGCCAGCCTGGTCTACAAAACAAGTTCCAGCACAGGCTCCAAAGCTACAGAGAAACCCTGTCTTGAAAAACTAAAAAAAAAATTATTAAAAAAAAAAAAAAAGAGTTAACAGGTGGCTTTAAGTGTCTTTGTATGACACCTAAACTGAGCAGGTGAAATGGCTTGCCTGTTGCCAAGCCTGATGGCCTGAGTTCAATACCCAGGGTGCAGGTGGTTGAAAGGACAGAACTAGGTCCTACAATTCATCCTCTGATCTGCATATACACACACACACTACATACTACACTACATTAATTAATGTAAAAATAAGTATTTGTATTCACCCCATCACAGGATAGCTACATTTCCTTGCCTTTCCATCCTAAATAATAAATTATTTCTTTCTGTTTTGAACCCCAGGGATTGCCCTTCTCTCAGATGTGTACCCTGAAGAAATCTTGGTTGACCTGTTGACCAGATATGATAGTGGCAAAGACAAGTACACTCCAGAGACCAGAATGAAAGTTGGGGAAGTCCTGATGCGAATTGTCAGGGCATTAGGTGAGTATTTTGTTTGTTTTGTTTTTTATTCCATTTCTCTGAAATAAAGCAGTGTGGTTTTAAAATCTTTATGTACTAGATGGTTTACTAGTAGATAAGGGCAGACCAGGGGTGGTGATGAGCTATTTAGGGATTGAGCACATATTCAGCAAGTAACCCCACAAGAAGAGTGTATATTTTACTATAGCTGTTTAGTTTCCCTCTCCAAGAGCTGTTTTCCTGGATTCTGTGTGACTGGAATGGGCTTTCAATATGCAAGCCAGGCTGGCTCAATACACTATACAGTCCAGGCAGACCTCCATTTCACAGTTTTCTGCCCGCCTCTAGAGTGCTGGGATTATAAGTACACTCCACTATGCCTAGATCCTTTAAACAAGTTGCTGTTAAACTAATTTTGTATATGAAACTGGCTCAGACACCTTCAGCAGTTAGTCCAGGATTCCTTCCAGATGAATGGTAGTGTGAAAACTGAACCACCAACTTGAAGAAGTTGCTCTCTGCTTGTTGACTGAGAGTTGTATTTGCAGCATGGGCTGTTGTCCTGAGCTGCTTCTGGCTAGTTGAGTGATCATGGGCTATTTATTTCTCTACTTCTTGGTGCTTCAGTGTCCATGTGTATAAAAGAGGATGTTCATACTAAATAATAAAATTGAAGGGAAGCAACTGGGTCTAGTGATACAGGACTGTAATCTCAGCTACTTAGGAGGCTGAGATGGAGTTCAAGTCCTGTCTGGTTTACAGAATGAGTTCAAGAACAACCTGGGCAACTTAGTGAATCCCTACCTCAAAAGTTAAAAGAGGGATGGGAGATGTAGCTCAGGGGTAGAGTGCTTGCCTAAATTGTGTGAGGTCTTGGGTTCAGTTCCTGATACTGCAAAAATAGTCAAAAACAAAAACATAAAGGGGGCACTGGAGAGGTGGCTCAGGCCAAATCAGGCAGCCAGGTCATTTCCTGGGGGGAGGGTGGAGTTAAGGATAAAGGATGGGCTGAGTGAGGAGAAGCCCTACTCCTCTTCACATGTATTTGTGGTTAGCCTTGTTTCCCAGGCAGCCCTGTCTTTTCAAGGCAAATCCCATAGATTCTGGCAGCCCTGCTCTTTGCAGCTCACTCTTCTGATTTTCCATCCTCAAGCACAAGTCATAGCTTTTGTTTGCTTGTTTTTGTTGTTGTTTTTTTTTTTTTTTTTTCCTTTGAGACTCTATGTGCCTTGGATACCTTGGAATTCATTGTTTAGACCAAGCTGGTCTCAAACTCACAGAGATGTGCCTGCCTCTGCCTCCCTAGTTCTGGGGTTAAGGGTGTGCACCATTCTCCCTGGCCAGTCACAGCTTTGACTGTCTCATTTACATCATGGGGCAGCATCCATAATCTGAAAACTTGAAATCCCAAATGGTCCAAAATCTGAACCTTTTGAGTACTTGTTATGATGTCATAACTGGAAAATTTCATACCACAAAAATTTGTTATATTCAAAAAACATTTTAAATAAAATTACTTTTGGTTTTATGCATACAAATGATATGCAAAATCGAAGTGAATTTTGTGTTTATACTTGTGTATTCAAATTCAAAAAGTTCAGAAGAGTACACAATCTGAAAGACTCTGGTCCTCAGCTTCTTGGATGAGGTGCTGTCACCTGTGCCAGTGTGCCAAGTGCATACAGAAACTGACTTGAAGTCCTTTAAAGGAAAATAGGGCTTATTCATTTTGCACAAGCAGTATTCTTATTCCTCTAATGTTGTGGAGTCCTTGTGAACACCATTGATGAAGCTTGACTGGTACACACCTCGGTTGCATTGCCTGGGCCTTGCTTCTTCCTACCCTCATCAGTTTGTAGTGGTGGGAAAGGAGCTAGGACTCAGTACAGTGCCACCTGCTCTTGGCCTCATCCCTAGCTCCTAGCTGTACAGGGTGATGGTAGCAAATCAACAAGAGTTCATTTCTCTGTTTTTAAAACTTGGGCTGGATGTGATGGCAGAAGCTGGCAGATCTCAGAGTTCAAGATCAGCATGGTCCACATACTAAGTTCCAAGTTAGCCAGGGCTACTTAGTTAGACTCTGTCTCAAAAATCAGAAGCAACCAGGCATTGGTGGCACACACCTTTAATCCCAGCACTCAGGAGGCAGAGGCAGGTGGATCTCTGTGAGTTCAAGGCCAGCCTGGTCTACAGAGTGAGTTCCAGGAAAAGCTACACAGAGAAACCCTGTCTGGAAAAAAAAAAAAAAAAAAAAAAAAAAATGCAAGCAAACAAACAAACAAAAGCCCTCAAGGTATTCTATAGTCAGCAGTTAATAGGAAACTGATGACAAGAGTGTAATTCTATGGTACTCCATACTACTACTCAAATCAGAAATGCCCAATAACCCCAAAAGCTTCTTTTTGCCCTTTCTTGTCTGTCCCTGCCCCAAAGATAAACAATGTTCTGAATTTTTTGTCATTTTGAGTTTACTTTGATTGTTCTTGAACCTCATTTTAATGTTGTTAAATATGCCTGTTTCTAGTAGAGCCAGACATTTGTGAATTTAGATGGAAGTACAGATACACTTTCTAAGCTGTGCTATGTTCTGAATTTCCCTGTTGCGGTGATTAAGGGGCACACACTTGTCGGGTCAACTCACTCTTTGTGATGCTGAGCCTGATTCTGGTCTTTCCAGTAGGACCTATTTGTTATAAACCTGTTGACTGCTGTGGGTTAAGTAATCACAGATAACTTTACCTGGATACATTGTTTCATGAAGACTATTTTTTTTTGTTTGTTTTTGACAATTTTTTATTACTTCTTTTATTTTTTGAGATTATAACTGCATCATTTCCCCCTTCCCTTTCTTCCCTTTAAATCCTTCCATATACCCCTCTTTGCTCTCTTTCAAATTCATGGCCTCCTTTTTTTCTCATTGTTATTGCATGCATATGTGTATATGAATATATATACATATATATGTGTGTGTGTGTATATATATATATATATATATATATATATATATATATATATATATTCCTAAATATAACCTTCTCAGTCTGTATAATGTTTTTTGTGTGTATGTTTTCAGAGATGACCATTGGTATTGGATAATCAATTGTTACGCTGTTCCCTGGCAAAGACTATTTCATCAACTCTCAGCATTCCTGAGTTGCCTGTAGTTCTTTGTGTAGGCCCTGTGGTCTTTCCCCTGTCCAGTATGGCACTGCTGTTCTTGTTCAGGTCGTGTTTAAGAAGTCATGTTGGTGAGACTTTATGGGTATAGCTTTTTTTGTTTTTTAAAGACAAGTTCTGCTGTATAGCCCAGGCTGGCCTCAAACTTGCAATATTCTTGCTTCAGCTTCTCAAATGTTAGGATTATAGAAGAATATCAGCAAACCCAGAAAGGGTTTAATTTTTATTATTTATTTATTTATTTTATTTAAAAAATTTAATTAATTAATTTTGTTTTTTTCAAGACAGGGTTTCTCTGTGTAGTCCTGGCTGTCCTGGAACTCTCTCTGTAGACCAGGCTGGCCTCGAACTCAGAGATCCACCTGCCTCTGCCTCCTGAGTGCTGGGATTAAAGGTGTTTGCCATCACTACCTAACTAGTATCTCATTTTTAAAAAGGTTTGGAGAGAAGAGGCATTAGATGCCCTGGCCCTGGAGTCACAGGTAGTTTTGAGCCACTTGATGTGGATGCTGGGAACTAAACCCAGTTCCTCTGTAAGAGTGGTATGTATTCATAACTGCTGAGCCATTTCTCCAGCCTTACTATAGAGTGTGTGTGTATTTTAAGATATTTTAAGATATTTTCTTCTGCTGCTGTTAATATTTTAGTTTTGTTTCTGAAATAGAATTATACAGTTTATTTTTTGTTTGTTTGTTTATATTCTTGCTTAGTGTAGATAAATCTGTCTTTCCCTTTATGACTTCTTATATCGATGATAGGGCTCCCAAACCATGACTGTTAAAGTATGAATGTATATATCTTTACCTGTTCTTTTTGATGTAGAAAACATTGTGGTAGGATTTTGGCTTAGTCTGTCTTTTTAAAGGAACTATTCATTTTTTTTTTAACTTTTAGAAATGTAATCTTAACACACTGTTAAGTTACCAATCATCCCAAATGTTTTCCCACCTGTTTCCTCTTGTGTGGTCCAATGTTGATATTGACACTAACCTGAGGGCTATTATGTACCATTGCATTAAAAAAAAAAAAAAAAAAAACTGGAAAAATGTAAGACATTAAAGTGGGTGTGGTCACGTTCTCTGTAATCCTAGCCCTGGGAAGGCAGAGGTGGGGGATCTGGAGATCCAGGATATCCTCCACTTTATAGTGAATTTGAGGCCTAGCCTGGACTTTATGAGACCCTGCCTCAAAAAATAACCAACTAACTGCTTAAAGTCAGACTATAACACTCATTCTGCAGATTGTTCACAGCTGTGTAAACTCCAGGGGGCATCTTTGTATGAATGACATACCCCAAATTGTCTGTTCCACAACCTAGGGAGTCTCTCTGGTACCCCAAGTAAAATAAGTGCCAACTTGTCTCATAACCTAAGTTTCATTTCCAGTTATTAGTAAGAGTTAATTACTCTTTCATAAAAAAAAATTACTCATGTCTGGGGGCTAGAGAAACAGTTTAGTAGATGAAGCATGTACTGCTCTTCCTAAGGACCAAGTCCAATTCCTCGCACCCGAATCAGGCAGCTTAGCAGCTTACAATTGCCTATAAGTTCAGTACCAGGGAGATCTGATGCCTCTGGCCTTCGCAAATACCTGCACTTATGTTCACACACACACACACACACACACACACACACACACACACACACACACACACACACAAAGAGAGAGAGAGAGAGGAGAGAGAAAAGAACTTAAAAATAAATTTTTTTTAAAAAATATTCATTCCTTTCTATAAAACATCTACAAATTCTCTTACATGTGAAAATTTCTTACAGAGCAGATTTCATCTGTTTTCTATCAATCACATTAACATCTTTTTCCTTTTGATATGGGTTGCTAAGGAT